AGCAGTATTAGCTTGTTTATTGATCTCGTCATTCATCGCATTAGGTTAGTGTTACATTGCATGCATTTGCATAGTGGTCGTTTTGTCATACCAAATCCCAATACTTTGACCATGGACCTATCTCAATTAGCTCAACTACAGGATCAATTAGCAACCGTCCAAACCGAGGTGACTGCTACTCGTGAGGAGAGTGGAGAACTAGCTGCTAGGGTGAATAATCTAGAACAAACCTCCCCCTCAACCGACACTAATAATTCTGAAGCGTCTCATAACGTACCTTATCATCGTCGACATGGTGTACGACAGCGTGTTCGTCACGGACGAAGGAATGGGGAAAATGAGCGCAATCATGAACGAGACCATGACCCTTATGGTACTCATTGACCTCCTCGCTATGAGGAACGTTACTTTCGAAACATCAAATTAGACGTTCCTACTTTCGATGGTTGTTTAGATCCTAGAGTTTTTACACGGTGGGTTAGAGACATGGATCGCTTCTTTTCATGGTATGGAGTCCCAGAGGATCGAAGAGTTCAATTTGTCAGTTTGAAATTAACAGGTACTGCCCAACTCTTTTGGGAAAGCGTTGAGGACCTTCTTGAGAGGCGTCATGCACCTCCCATTGGAGGTTGGAAGAAAATGAAGCGCCGCCTTCAAGAGAAATATTTACCCCACTCTTATAGGAGCAACTTGTTGCACCAGTAGAATACCCTCACACAAGGAAACCGTCCAGTGACTAACTATGTTACTCAATTTGATGAGTTCCGAATGCGATGCCACATCATCGAGGATGAAGCTATGACTTTAAGTAGGTTCAGACAAGGCCTATGAGATGATCTTCGGCGTGAGCTTGTCTTTCGAGGTGTCACCACTCTCGATCACGCTTATTCCTTAGTTCGAGATTACGAGTCAATTACTATGACTCCGTATTGAAGGCGTAGTGATAATCGTCCATCCATCTCATCGGCACCACCTCCTCCCACCAAATCTCTTCTTGGACCCCCACCGTCTAATGCACTCCATGTTTTAGACAATAGAGGTAAAGCTCCGGAAACTTCAAAAACCTCTTCTCTTTTGCAATGCTTCAATTGTAAGGGTTTCGGCCATATCTCCTCTAGATGTTCGAGCTGAACTTTAGTTATTGACGAGCGAAAGGATGTCTTTGATGAGCCTTTAGAAGATCAAGTCTCTAAGCCTAACTTTGAAGAGTTTGACGATTTGGGTGATAATGAGGATACCTTCTTAAGATGCCTTCGTACCCTTCCTGTAGGTCTAGATCCTACTTCTCTGGCCCCCGACACATCTCGGATGAGTGTTGTACGTTGTTCCCCTACGCAACCTAAGGATGTCGATGATTGGCGCCGTCATGCCATTTTTCATACTTACATCAAGATCAACAATAAAGGTTGTAAGATTATTGTTGACAGTGAGAGTTGTATTAACGCGGTCTCTATGATCACAGTCTCCCGTCTTGGATTGAAGTCAGTCCCGCACCTCCAACCATATAGTGTCTCTTAGGTTGACACTTCTTTTATAGCTGTGAAAGAGCGTTGTTTGGTGCCTATCCAATTCCTTGAGTATAAGGATCATATATGGTGTGACGTCATCCCCATGGATGTTGGACATGTCATTCTTGGTCGACCTTGGTTGTTCGATCTGGATGTAACTATCCATGGGCGATCAAATACATGTTCTTTTGTATTAATGGAAAGAAGATTCACCTTAATCCTTTACCACTAAAATCTGTTGACTTACACCTAGCAAAAAAAAATTGTCGAGTGGAAAGGATTACATGTGATTAGCCCTACAGAATTTGGACGGATAATCGTAAATGACTCAATCGTATTTGCTGTGATTGTTATGGAAGTCCCATTCGAATCCCCAATAGCGACCCCTACTAAAGCCCAATCACTCCTTCAGGAATTTAAGGATGTATTTCCTCACGACCTCCTTGATCTATTGCCTCCCTTACTGGATATTCAACATGCTATAGATCTGGTTCCAGGTTCGTCTCTCCCAAACTTGCCTCACTATAGAATGAATCCTGCTGAACATGTCGAGCTCCAGAGACAAGTGGGTGAACTCCTTTACAAAGGCTTCATCCGTGAAAGTTTAAACCCTTGTGCAGTTCCCACCCTTCTAACACCTAAGAAGGATGGTTCTTAGAGGATGTGCGTTGATAGGCGCGCTATCAATAAAATCACTGTCAAGTATCGTTTTGCCATCTCTGACTTGATGATATGCTAGATATGATGGTCGGTGCCACAATCTTTTCCAAAATTGATTTGAAGAGTGGGTATCATCATATTTTGATCCGCCCAGGAGACAAGTGGAAAGCTGCATTTAAAACGAAAGATGGCCTATACGAGTGGTTGGTAATGCCTTTTGGACTAACCAATGCTCCAAGTACTTTTATGAGAGTGATGACACAGGCCTTTCGGCCTTTCATAGGCAAATTCATTGTCGTATACTTTGATGACATCCTCGTGTACAGCAAAACAAGGGAACAATATCGAGATCATCTCACTCAAGTTTGCTCTACACTGCGTGCAATAAGCTTGTATGCCAATATGAAGAAATGTTCTTTCTTCACGGATACAATTGTGTTTCTTGGATTTGTTGTTTCCGCTACGGGAGTATCTGCTGATCCTGCAAAGATTCGGGCAATTGTTGAGTGGCCCGATCCCAAGAATATACATGATGTTAGGAGTTTTCATGGTTTCATCAAGGGATTTAGTACGATCATGGCCCCTATCACAAAGTGTATGAAGAGAGGAGAATTTCATTGGACGTAGGAAGCGGCTAAGGCCTTTCAATCAATCAAAAGGCGAATGACAGAGGCTCCTGTCATGTAACTCCCAGATTTTTTCAAAGTTTTTGATGTCGAATGTGATTCGTCAGGGGTAGGAATAGGTGGAGTCTTGAGTAAAAAAGGCCATCCTATTGCTTATTTTAGCGAGAAATTAAATGATGCCAACAACGGTACTCGACTTATGATAAGGAGTTGTGTGCAGTTGTACAAGCCTTGCGCTATTGGCGTCATTACTTATTACCCCACGAATTTGTCCTCTTTTCTGACTATGAGGCCCTTCGCTTCCTTAATTCCCAGAGACGATTGAATTCTAGGCATGGCCGCTGGATCGAATATTTACAGGCCTATTCTTTTGTCTTAAAGCATAAAAAGGGTGTTGAAAATCGAGTTGCTGATGCTTTAAGCCATCGCATCTCGTTGTTGTCCGTCATGAGTGTTAAGGTTCTAGGGTTTGAAAGATTTAAGAAAGAGTACGAGTCATGTCCCGATTTCAGAGACATTTTTCTTGCTTTGCAAAATGGGGAGTTGGACACTACTGATGGTTTCCGTTTGGAGGAGGGCTATCTTTTTAGATCTAATAAATTGTGCATCCCAAGGACTTCAGTGCGAGACTTTATAGTGTGCGAAAGTCATGCTGGTAGGTTGGCTCGACATTTTGGGCGTGATAAGACCATAGAGGAGATTGAACGTCAATTCTATTGGCCCAGTTTAAAGACAGATGTGACCAAGATTGTCGGCACATGTAACAATTGTCAACGATCTAAGCAAAAAAAGCAGAACACAGGCCTCTACACTCCTCTCCTCGTCCCTAGTTTTCCTTGGCAAGACGTTAGTATGGATTTCGTGCTAGGGTTGCCACGTGTGCGAAAGTCATGCTGGTAGGTTGGCTCGACATTTTGGGCGTGATAAGACCATAGAGGAGATTGAACGTCAATTCTATTGGCCCAGTTTAAAGACAGATGTGACCAAGATTGTCGGCACATGTAACAATTGTCAACGATCTAAGCAAAAAAAGCAGAACACAGGCCTCTACACTCCTCTCCTCGTCCCTAGTTTTCCTTGGCAAGACGTTAGTATGGATTTCGTGCTAGGGTTGCCACGTACTCCAAAGAAACACGACTCCATTTTCGTTGTCGTAGATCGCTTCTCGAAAATGGCACACTTTATTCCCTGTAATAAGACTTCCGATGCATCCAAGGTTGTTAAGTTATACTTCCATGAGATCGTCAAGCTGTATGGCCTCCTTAAGACCATTGTCTCGGAAAAGATAAAATTGATGCTATTCTAAATGCACAGACCATATTAACTAAGGATGGAGACATTCAGCGCTTCCTTGTTCGTTGGGAAGGCCGTCCTGATTCTGATTGTACTTGGCTCTCCAAAGAGACACTTCAACAGCTTGATCCTGATTTGTTGGAGCATTATAGGAGTCAATACGATCTTCCTTTACTCGGACCACCACCCTTGCGTGTATATCGACATCGAAAGAAGTTTGTTCAACCGCTCAGTTTGTGGCTAGGAGATTGATAGCAGCCTTTTGTGATCTACCTCCTCGACGGGGTCGAGTTTTTCTCCCACCCTGGGAGAGTTGATGCGGACAACATCCTTATCGGGCCTTTTGTTGGAACATTTTATCTTTTATTTATTTTAAGCTTTATGTCTTATTGGGCTTGTATATGGGTTTGGCCCAAGCCCAAGTTTATTATTTTGGTATTTATATTATTGTAATTTGGATTGAAAGTCACTTTGGATGAAATGAAGGATATTTTGTGATCGTCTCTCTCCTCTTCTCTCCAGTTTCCCCTCTCTTCTCCTCCTCTTCTTCCTCTTCTTCTTCTTCCTGCTTGATTCTACATCACTTATTGCCCCTAATAATTGAGAAAAAAAACTCAGTAACCAACCATTTCCAACATCTGTCATATCCAGCAATTATTTTCATTTTGATTTATGTTCATCTATTTTGAAAGAGGAATGACGGTGTGATGCTTAAATCATTTTTTATACTTGCACCAACAAATGAAAAACATATTGGTCATTTCTCTGAACTTGTATTCACTGTTTGAAACTGACAGATGGGGAAGGTATCCTCCAGAGGTCAGAACAGCCATCCCCGTGGATGGAAGATTTGAACATATGGTCTTGTCTTGCAACGCTACGTCTGATCATGCTATTATTTGGATAGAACGAGAGGCAGAACATGCCCTAGAAGTAAGTAAAAATCAGCTTCATTCTGCTCTTGTTTTTCCTCCTAATTCTTTGACATTCTTCTCTCTTTTTTCAGCCACTAACCAGCACAGACATGATATTACTTTTATAATCAAGTACCATCTAGTTTACAGCAGTACTTGACGTAGAATGAAATATAATCAAATAGTAGAATTATAGGAAAAGGGGAAGGAAAGAGAAGAAGAGAAGAGAGGAGGGGGAAAATAGAAAAAGAGGGGGAGATAGAAAGGGAAGAAGAATTAGATAGACGGAAGCAGAATTTAGGAGAGAGGAAGAAGAGGGAAACAAGAAGATATTGAGGAAGAGATTATCAATTTATTTCATTATCAAAGTTGTATCCATTACAGTACATGAGTCCCTTTTATGTGGGGTTTCAAAAATCTATTCTAAATAGGAAACATCTAATCAAATCCTAGATAATCTAGTAACATAATAAAATCACCCTATGAGAACTAGTAAATAAATCATAATAACTTCCCCAAAATAAGAATCTAAACATGGAAAATAATCATATAATAATATAATGGGATTTCTATCATTAATTTTTCTTGGTTCTTCATTATTTTAGAGAAAATGACAACTAAGATCTTTCAATTAATGTTGCTTTCCGAAAAGGAGTACACTGATGACTTTTCATTTTTGGTTTTTAATAAAATCACGAAGAAAAGTATTTCAATAACTTTAGTTGTATATATGGCAGCCTATGTCGAACTGATGCTGCATGAAATGAGTTTGAAACTGTACTTAAATAACTTCAATTTGATGAAACTTGTCGTGTGAATAAGGTTAAAAATTGGAGCACTTCATGCAATATTTTTTAATTTTACGTCAGATGCTATATAATTATCCTTCAGATTTAAGTAGTGGTGTAATATGCATGTCCTCCAATCATGAAGTCTGTGGTGTCTGCTCACTTTCGGTCTACATAACTGGCTTTCCAGAGAATGCATAGAAATTCACTATCTGAGGTTCTCTGGAAACTGGTCGACATACCAACATTGGGATTACATGACCCATGTACTAATCCTGACTCCCGTGATATATCTGATCTGGATTTTAGACTGTTTGAACAGTTCTTAAATGGTTATAAAATGTTTACGAATATATATTGTGATGCAGAAACTGAAGGACCATAGTACAGAAACCACCATGGCACCGCCTAAAGTCCAAAAATTTGACAGGAAGCAGACAATTGAGAAAGAACACGAGGATGCTTTAGAGAGGGCTGTGAGTCTGAATATACCCAATGCTGCTACAACTACTGGAGAAGAATCCTCAGGCAGCATTGAAGGGTCATCTTCAGGGGACATGCATATCGAACCTTGTGAGGATGAAACAGAGAATTCCAAGGAAACTAAAACGCCATCAAGTAAAAATGCTAGAACTAATTGGAACGAAGTAGTTGAGAAGCTTTTCAAGAGGAATGAATCGGGGAAACAGCTATTGGTAGGAGAGACCTCTGTTACTGAATAATGCACATTTTGATTTTTATTTTTTTACCTCATAGATAGGATATGGCCATTTAGGTAAGTTTCGGTTCAAGAGACGTATCTTCTTTCGGTTGTTTTTCTTGCCATTATTTCCTGTTCACAAGTTCTATGTGCCTTCTGTACAACTATTGATGTATAATCCCTGGCTTGTGTAGGCTAATGTACATTTTCAGTGTAGTAATTTAAACGGAACAGACCATCCTTTGAATGGCGCTACGTGAATTGTCAAGATTTATTCTTGGAATACGTTAAGAGTATGTTTTGGTAGAGCTTTTAAAAAGCCAAAAACTACTTCTAAGATTAAGAAGTTATTATTGGACCTGTTCATTGGGGAGCAAAACTATTAGACCAAATCAAAATCAGCTGAAATCGAACTAAAATACTCAAGTTCTAATTGGTTTTGGTTATTAAAATCAGGAACTGGTCTCTTCCGATGTGATCTTAATATTTTCGACTTCTCAATGTATAAAGAAAATAGAAGTGATATTGTAACACTTTTAAAGAACTCATTAAAAGCCAATAGTTAAGCATTTGATGTAAATTGTTGTGTTTAGTTAAACTTGAAAAATGCATCATTAGGATCAATGTATATCATTTTAATAAAAAGATATGTATAATACAATTATTAAATAATTATAGTTTAAAAACGTGTACAGTTAAGATTAATGATCATATCTATTGATGGGCGTAATGAATAAAGCAGTTACAAATGGGCACTTTGCATGGGTTAATGAATTTGAAAACTTAAAACAAGAAGTCAAATTGGACCAAATCGAATGGTTCAATTCAATTATGTTTGATTCTAGTTTGGTTCTATACTTATAAATGAAACCAATGATTACATTTTTCAAGATAGCAATTGGTACTTGGTTAGATTTGATTCCCTTTAGAATCAGATTGAACCAAATAGCGCTCACTCCCAAGACAAATGCATTCCATAAATGTACTTTTGGATTAAGAGGTCTAAGTTCATTTCATACTTTTCAAGCTAACATTTTTAACCCCTCAAAAGTTTAAAGAAAATTAAATTGAAATTGACCAAGAACTCGTACAAGCTAATAGTTAACCAGTTGATAAACCGTCACATTTTGTTAAAACTGAAAAAATGCAATTCATAACATCAATATAATCATTTTAATGATTAAACTATAAGAAGTTAGATATTTTTAAAAAATTATAGCTTAGAAACTTGTACACTCAAGGCACTTCATTTGCAACAAATAACGTGAACTAAATTCAAACCAGAACTGACCATGGTTAGAAGGGAATCATTACTTTTTCAAAATACTCAATTGGTACTGAGATCAATTCTGTTATCGTGCCCACCCCTACTTGTTCGAATAGAAGTGCTTTGTCGGATTAAAAAAGAAAAATAAAAAGAAAAAATAAACTTATAGAGGACGACTTTTTCAAGAAACTCAACTATCTCAAAACAGGCTCTAATACTCAAAGGTCGCATGAGGAAGCCCCTGTTAATGCGAGCACCTTCTGTGTTGTGCTTTGATAGGGCCAAGCGAGATACATGAAGAAAAAGCTTCAAAATTTGCCTTCATCCCATGCTTCCACCATTTTTTTCATGATTCTCAGAAATTTTCAATTCGGCTAGTCATTGATTAATCTGCCAAATCGGAAAAATTGGACTATGGAACAAGTAGATAACCATCCCAAGAAGGTAGGAAAATAGCCCTAGTAACACAACCAAAATGTTATTTTTCATGCTCTAGAATTAGCAACTTGTACATATACATTATGAAAAAGATATGACCAAGCAAATTACACCACCACCATCATGTGTTTACTACTCTCCCAAATCAAAAAAAATATTTTCCCATGAGAAATGCAAACCCATCAATCTATTTAAAACAATGGGAGTAAAACATTTGTAGCCCGAAATAGCATTCATCAGTCCAAAGAGGTCTGAAACACAAAAAAAAAACCACTGCAACGGTTACCATTTTATGGCTAGAATTTTCCAAAAAGAGCTTAAAGAAGTGTCTAAACTAGCATGGCTTCTGCATGATACTTCTCCAGCTCCTTGTCAAGATCCTGGGCTGATTTATCCACCGTTTTCTTTACCCAACGAGTCCCATCATGGCCACGTCCACGTCCACGCCCACGCCCACGCCCACGCCCACGTCCACGTCCTCCACCACGACCACCATATGAACCACTACGACCCCTCTGACTGATCAAAATATAAACAATCACAAATTAGCCTCAAATTGTTCGGTAGCATAGTACTATAAATAAAGAACTGCAACAGGTTGACTATATGCCCGCGCTGGCCCCCCTATACCTTTTTTAACACAATTATTAAGCTTATTAAAGAATGAGAATGAGCACAAGGTGCAGTGCAAATTGTCAACCAACCAATATTACATTTGAAAGAACTGCACAAGGCCCCAATTCTGAAAGGGAGTTTCATGCCAGGTTTAATGCTATTTTGCCTGCTCAAAGATCCAAAATTCTTAAATTCCTGACATCAATTTAATATTAGACATGCTCACTATCTGTCCATTAGCTTCCTTTTGAAGTAAACTCAGGCATCAGAATCTCAAGTAACAAGGCAAAATTCATGTCCACGTATCATGGATGACTGTCATTTAGGAAAAAAGGCCCATTCCAATCAAAGCACCATGATTACAAATTACGGTGATAAAGTGAGAACTAAGAATGGAATACCATAAATCAGTTTCAAAAAGCAACCAATATTTGATTCAAGAACCAATACTCACATCATAAGATCATGAACCAACCCAATTGAGGTTCAGAAGATTAGATATCAATTTCAATAATGCAACATGCACAAGGAAATGGTCATAGGTAACTTACACATAATTACCATTGAAAGCAATAGCTCTGCCTGTGGGACGAGCTGGTCGAGGCCTGCACAAAAGACAGCAACCAGTTTAAAAACCTTGCTGCAACATTACAATGATAAGAATATCAAGTACAATATAGAAACAAAATCTAATGCTTGGAGTGATCTGAACAGAAGTATTGTCTTCAAAGGAATGGAATATCAATCAGGAGGAAGTATAGCTCTCTTTGAGCATGTTCGGCTCAAGGTAACCAATTAAAATATATTTAAAAGTACCTCAATCCAAACATGTTCAGATGGGGGCTTATAGATTTCTTCTCTCTTCCATAAACAAAATTACTTACTTGGACATGGGCGAAGTCGCTATCAAAACTATCAAAAATAGATTATTTGATTTTACTAACAAATCAGACAAAAAAAATGTAACAATTAAATATAATTATTATTGTAATTTAGTAATATAAAATGAAAATGAAGTAGCAGAATTTAATTTAAAATAGTATTCAATTTTTGTCAAATAATTTCAAATATCATGTATGTTCAATATTTGTCACTAAAAATGATAAATCTTTTCTAAAATAGATTGGCAAACTAAATAAATATACAAACACTCAAATTTTGTTAATAATTTAATTTACAAAACATACTTTCACTAAAATTTGGACAAAATTGTGTTACAAGGCTTTAATACAATTTTTCATACTAAAAAAAATGTAAACTTGGCCCCTCATTGAGCCCCATTTTTGGGCCAAAATGCATTTTGGAATAGTGTTTTGTTGGAGAATGTGTAATTAGAAATGAAGGAAAAGTTTTGGATTTACGCGTAATATTATTTTATTAGAGAATATGTGTTTAAAAAGATGAGAGAAAAATATATTTTAGAACTAATGGAGTCCAAATAGGGGCTTAATATACGAAATCAAGCTATTGAAATGGTAAGAAACAAATTCTATCTTCCTTTCAATGCTCAATATACTACCATTCAAGGCACATTCCACCAAAAAGAAAAGGGGAACACAAATAAAACCAGCAGACAAAAAATTAGAAGGAAACATAGTCACCCACGCCATGACAACTGTCCTCCTTTTTCCATTTGCTTTTCCAACCACATTCACACGAGCTGAAATAGGGATCTCTGCATTGACGCCAATTATCTCAATCTTCATAGGCTTCCCATCCAATTGGACATTGTTATATCGCTTAAGTGCTTGAAACGCATCACTTCTTCTAGCAAAAACCACTTCAGCCGAACCCTGTGTCACAACATATAATTTTAAACTTGTGTAAAGCATGAAGTGCAGAAACAAACTAGTACGAGTAAATATTAAAGTGGTCTGAATCTTTTGGGAAAAAAAAATGTTGTAAACCTTTAGGAAATCAGAATCGAAATGGAAGCACATATATCCAGGAAAAGAACAAGGAAAGTAATAAAGTTTCAAAAATTGTCCAAAATATTATGAAAAAGGACGATTAACTGAGTACGGGCAATGGAGAAGACAAATAGAGCATTTGTATCAAAGGTAGCAGGTTTCCACTGTTTGGAGACGATGTTTTTCATAGTTCAAGGAAATGTGCATGTCAAACAATAGACAAGAGGAACTAAAAAGGAACAAATATCCGAACCATTACGTTAAGAAATAAACATCCAGTGCAACACTAGATACAAAAACAAAAAATGAACATGAGTTCAGCAACTGGGTTCAATAATAGCTGCTTATGGCTTTATAGTCCACATGCATAATCATTATTGAGCAACCTACAGGTCATTTTTTGTGTCAACAACAGCTTACAAGAGGGATGAAGCTCAATAAATTAGAGATACTCCAAAACAGGATACATGTTCTCTGTCAAGAAGGATCTCAATTTAAAGAAGTCTAAAATGACTCAAGCATAATGAACTTAATGCACAAAGCCTTGTACTCACACTAGGTTGCCCATTTTTGTCATAGTGAATTGCATATCGTATCAGCTCCCCAATCTCAGAAAAGAGTTCCTGCATTTAAGTCCGTTTTCAAAAATAAAAATAAAAAAATAAAACCTTCAAATGAAAATCCACAAAAAGATGAGAAGGCTCAGCACAATATTGATACCCTTATATCCTGATTCGTCACCCCAATGTCCAAGTGGGAAATGAATAACTTTGTACCATTTTCTAATCCCGATAATCCAGCTGCTTTAAGACCATCTTCAAACAGACCATTCTGCCATGGCAAATTCTTGGTTCTGCGGACAGACTGATGCAAGCAAACCAAAAATATACCGAGATTGGAAAAGGAAATGTCAGCATAGAACCACAAATATTATATTTTATCATTCTTCAAGATAAAGCAGATATCAGCAAACTTCCATGAAGTAGTTACACCGAAATGCTTGTGCAAGATAATCCAATTCCATGGAAAATAGAGCTACAAAATTTAGTGCACATTGGAGTTTGATATTTGATCCACAGCATGTCAACAGGTTCTATGCAAAAAGGTGAGAGCTCCAGTTTACATATACAGCGAAGTAAACCACCTTCGAGAATGGCCATGCACTCAAATAGTGAGTGAAACCTTGCCACCAGTGTAATCTAGCGTGTAGCAACAGAATCCATCATAAAATGATCAATTTATTGCAACGTCTCACCAAAACTCCCCTCGAAACAATCACGAAACAAAACTGGATTGGCCCTTTTTATATATAATGACTTAAGATGGCTAAGAAAATCCAAGCCTCTAGTTATTAGCAGACGTTAAAGTGGTGAGAGCTCTTAAACTGTCAATTATATACGATGCTAAGTAGCATAATCCCTTAACGGGTCACTGAAGATCTTTTAACAAATAGATCCATTGCAAAGTTCTTATGCAAAAACCCGCAAGAACAGAAGAACCATCAGGATCTTAAAACAAATTCACTAGAATCTAGCGGCTTTGTTTCTGCTGAGGTACTTTGGTCTTCTCCCTGAACCAAGTAGTGTCACAATATCTCTGGCACTTGATTTTCTAAAGCAAAAGTAGAGAACCTTTTGTATGAGACACTAGAGCATAGCAGATTGTCTACAAAATGCATAGTTTCAAGCTTGCCTTTGCAATGGTGTATGCTGACGATCGAGCATTTAAGCTGAGTGGGCCTCTAGGTTGAGTCCCAGTTGTTCTTCCACCACTAAATAATCGTCCTGGCCATCTACCACGTCGAGGCCTGCCTAGTCCTCTGCCTCTGTCACTATTACGCCTGTTATTTATCATATTATCAAGAGACCTATCCCAAGAGGCCATTGATTATGAAAACACAGAACTCGAGCTGATCAAAGTAAATCTGAAAGAAAAAACAATTATCAGGGTACTGAATGCAAATTTTCTTCACAAAAGAAAGATAATATATTTACTAGCTAACAGATTAGTGCATGAAGAATGATCAAACATTCATCATCTCATCTGAGAAATGGCTGATTAATATTATTGGGTCAGACAGAAGCTCAAAATCTCAACTAATTCAGGAAAAAATATCTGAAACAGGCAGGTATAAACATAATGATAAAACGAAGATGCTGATAGAAACATTAAACTCAACAGTGTCACAGGTAATCCAAACACATCGGGTACCAGAAGTAATGCTAGATGAACGTAATAAATAATTCTTATATGAAATTATGAAGCCAAACTTAGATTGTGAATGTTTGAAACGAAATATATAATATCATAACGTGACTCCAAGATTTGAGAACTCAAAACAGTGGGTTTTCATCCAGAGAAAGAGAACATTTATTTCATGAAGAATCACACAAGTGAGTTCCCAATTATAGGACTATTAATCAGCAAACAACATAAATCACCCAACAATCAAATACACCATGCTACCAAACATGTAGATAAACAAAATTGTTTGCG